ACAATTAAAAAATACACACAGAACAAACTCAGAAAATATAGATTTCTGACCTAAAAACACACAATATGATGCTCTATTATGATGCAGTTTGGGAATTACTACCTTATTTGGTGAAGTGGAGGCCATCTGGAGTGGCCAAGAGGATCAGAGGAGGAAGGAATTCTCTCTGGGGCAGAAGCAGTACCAGTCATCTCTCTGAAAGAAAAGTCTTCAGGCATAAAAGGAGTTCTATTGCCTTGCCAACTAGAAGAGTCAACTTCTCCCTTTCCTTGAGCTGGTCCCTTCACTTTCGCTGTTTTTTTCTCTTTTCTTTTTGCTTCTTCTGTCTCTCTCTGAAGCCAAATATCTCAAGCCTTATCCAAATAAGAGTGGAATACCAGGATGGAATTGGTGATATGCTACTGGTCAGATTTACTCTTCTTAGGAGTGGAGGAAATCTTGTCAACTATTTTCTCTGCAATAATTGCTGCTACTAAGGCTGTTCCTATGGTTGTTGCAAGTGTGACTCCAATCTTCTTGACTATAATAATATCATGAGATACTGTTAAAAGGTTTTTGAATTGTGCAACCTGCTTCATACTCTCTGGTAGAGAGTAGGCAAATTCAGCTTGAGGGCAAGTAGAGGAGGAAAATAAGGAAGTACCAAGGTACCAGAGGGAGAAATTGTAGGGTTCAACAGTGGTTGGGTGCTTGCAAGTATCACTACAGAGGATGTATCGATAATTTCAAGGACACAGGTACAGCGAAATGGATGAATACCTGTAGTAGCACAGGAAGCCTTAATATTAACAACTATTAAGGCTTGTTGGCGGGCTTTTTTGACAAACCAGACAAAAGTCTCTCTTGCTAATAGTTTGATATGGGTGTGCTCTAACCCAATCATCAACCTCATTGCTATAGTATTGCTCAGGTGGACTAAAGATTCCAACATCCAACAGCTGGAGCAGATGAGTGGTATGGCTTAGAAAGCTCAAAAGATAAATCTTATATGTAAAGCAGAACTCAATAAATTCTAGGGTAAGATGTGAGGAGTGGCAATCAATGATTAAAAGCTACGAATGACCAGTCACTGGCCTCATATTAGGTTGAAAAAAGTCTCTCAGCCAGAGTAGTCCAATTTTATCATTTGTCTACCCAGTTTTAGAGTGTCCAAATACTGCTGGATCTCAATTCTCATAATTATGATTGCCCATAATATGTATCTCTTCCTTGTAGATATATAAGGGAGAAAGAGCCTTTCCAGCAGCAGAAATACACTCTATTAAACTGATCCATTCTCTGTTTCCTAGATGCCAAATTCTGGTATCATATCACCTCACACTGCAGACAACCTTTTCTTTCTTAACCACCCCAACGTCAAAGCCTTTCTCATCCACATTCCAGATATCCTCAACACCAGTCTGATATCTACTTTGCACCTCCTCCAGCCAATTAAAAAAGCTCTGAATACCTTCTGGCTTTTCCACTATCTCTCTCACATAGTCAATTCGACTAGCAAAGCAAGAAGCAATAGTAGGATGCCTATCCAAAAATCTTGTAATCCTGTGTTGACCTGCGATGGTATTTGCACTATTTGAACTTGAATACTTGCTTAGTAAAGCCACCACCATTTCATGTAGGTGCATAAGCCTTGGTGGAATCCGAACCTTATCCAAACGCTGAACCCATCTGACCATTTCAATCTCTTCCTCCTCTGTCAGTAGCTGCTGTGTTACATGGGCTTGGTTTTGTGACTTTGCTCTCTGAAACAAATGATTTCTGAGAGTAGTCTTGGAAACCCCATACATCTAAGCTGCACTCCTAATACTGACTGGGTTTGGCTGATGCAGTGCTTCAATTGCCTTATTCAGGGGAGTTTCATATTCTGAATTGGATGGAGACTTAACTTTTGGCATCTTGTCTGGTCATATTGCGTATGTTCGTTGGTAAATCGGCAAGGGGGTTGATGTGGGGGTAGCCAGTGCTACGTCGTGACCCGCTTCTAGGTCAGGAAGGTTAATAAGCATTGTTTCAACAAAGCTTGACTCAAGCATCATCCTAAAACCAAGATTTATTGCCAAATTTGAAGTGAAACTAGCTATCTACATGATTCCTTTTTATCAAGTGTTTCTGGTTTACTTTCTTGAATTTTTGGAGGTTTTTTCATTGAATTTACATGAGTGATTCTAAACGTAGGATTTGCCCCAATAGATTTATTACCGTATTAGGATATTAAAGGTTGGCTGGTATTCTATCATACCAGTTTGTCACGGACATTCACTGTATGATATTGCAAAGGTTTCTCCGAAAAGAATAGAC